CTCTCTCTCTGCTTCGGCCATCTCACAATGTGATACCCTGCATCACCAAAGCCACCTCCAAAAAAAACACACACCAGATGTGTTTCCTGGTCTTTGGACTCTCCAGCCTCTGAAACTATAAGCAGTAAATTTTGTTTTCTTTATAAATTACCCAGTTTGAGGTATTTTGTTATAAACAATTGAAACTGACTGACACAGAAAATTGGTACCAGGAGTGGGTGTTGCTTATAACAAATACTTGAAAACGTGGAAGTGGCTTTAGAACTGGGTAATGAGTAAAGATTTGAGGAGTTTGGAGGACTCAGAAGAAGAAATATCATACCCAAAAGTTTTATGGAATGTGGAACTTAAAGGTGCTGACCCAGGTATTTCGCAGAAGAAATTTCTAAGCAGTGAAACATTCAGAAAGCTTCATGGCTACCTGTAACAGCCTATGCTGAGTTATGGCGGCAAAGGCATGATGTAAAGCCAGAATTTATAATTAAAGGGAAGCAAAGCAAAAAGATTTGAAAAATTTGCCACCTGGCCATGTGGTAGAGAAGCAAAGAACATTTTCAGAAGAAAAATGTAATGGTGCAGCCCAACAACCCTTTGCTAAGGAAATTAGTACAAAAGAAAAGGATTATCAAAAGAAGGAAAAAAAGATCCTGAAGGCATTTCAGAGATCTTTGAGGCTGTGTCTTCCATTACAGGCCCAGAGGCCTAGGGAGACAGAATGGTCTTGGGGAACAAGCCAGAGATTCCCTCCCTGGGCTCACTGCCCAGGGCCACCTCAGGAAGCTGCTTCCAGCACCAGCACCTTTGCTGCTCTAGCTGTGGCTAAATTGGCCCCAGGTGTGGCTGGACCCACAGCTTTGGAAAATACAAGCCAGAAGCCTTGGCAACGTCCACGTGGTGTTAGGTCTGCAGGGTCGCAGAATGCCAGAGCTCTGAAGGCTTGAGAACCTCCACCCTGATTTCAAAGGATGTATGGAAAACTCTGGGTGCCCAGGAAGAGATCTGTCACAGGGGCAGTCACCACAGACAGCCTTCACTAGAGCAAGGTTAAGCAGAAATGTGGGATTGAAGTTGCAGCAGAAAATCCCCACTAGTGCCATGTCTGGTAGAACCGTGAGAGCAGGACTGCATGGAGACCCCAGAACTGTGGAGCTACCAGTGTGCAGTGCCAGCCTGTGAGAGCTGAAGCCTGGCTTCAGACCAGGAAAACCACAGAAGTGTAGCTGCCTGAGAACTTGGGGACCCAACCCCCACATCAACATGCAGCGAACGTGGAACATGGAGTCAAGGTACATGATTCTTCAGCTTTAAAATTTGAGGACTGCCCTGCTGGGCTGTCGACTTCCTTAGGACGTGTTACGCTTTTCTTTTGGCATATTTCTCCCTTTTGGAATGGCAGTATATACTCTGTTTGTCCCACCATTGTATCGTGGAAGTCAATAATTTTTTTTTTGATTTTCACAGACTTTGGACTTTTGAGCTGGGACAAGTTCAGACTTTGGGGATAGGGGGATGAAATGAATGTATTTATATGTGACAAGGACATGAATTTGGGGGGCCAGAGGCAGAATGCAGTGGATCGAATGGCCCTCCCAAAGTCATTGAAACTTAATCCCCACTGTAACTGTTGAGGGTTGGAAATCCTATTATGATAATTGAAAGGTGGGACCTCGAAGAGGTGATTAGATTGTAAGGACCACGACCTAGTTCTTGGGCATAGTTCTGAGGGCTTTAAGAGGAGAGCACAGGATAGTTTCTCTCTCTGCTTTGGCCATCTTGCAATGTGATATCCTATGTCACTGAAGCTACCACCAAGGCAGACCCTCACAAGATATGTCCCCTGGACTTTGGATTTTCCAGCTTCCGAAACTGTTAAGCGATAAATTTTGTTTTCTTTATAAATTACCCAGTTTGAGGTATTTTGTTATAAGCAACAGAAATGGACTGATACACCTCCTGTGTCTTATGGATATCTGTTTTGCTCTAATTTGAAAGCTCATTTTCCATGTCACTTCTTCATGAACATAGATTGTACAAATATTTATGGACGATTCACTGTGTCCCAGGTACCACCAGTATTTGCTGGGATTAGCAGTACTCAAGGTCCATACCTTATGGAGGTTCCTCAAACAATTGCAGGTAGATCTACCATATGACCCAGCTATCCCACTGCT